ATACAAAAAATTGCACTGATTCTTGAAGTTAATCTATCGTAAAAATACTATAAATCATGATAATTGACAACATAAAATATGTTTTGAAAAAAAATACAAAAATTTCCACTGATTCTTGAAGTGAATCTATCGTAAAAATACTATAAATGATGATAATTGACAACATAAAATATTTCAAAAATGTTGTATGTGGGTAGTCTTATTATGCCTTAAATAGCGTCAAAGAAAGTACAAGTTTGTGATAAAAAAACTTATTCCTTTATCCACGCAAACAATCGCTTCAAAAACTCGGTTATTAACCCCAAAATATACAATTTATATTATTGGGCCCGTGCATAGCACGGGAAACATTATCTAGTTATAATATAAAAATTAGTTTTAAATTTTTTCCTTTACACTAAGGAATGAAAGAAAAAAAGAAAATAAGAATAAGAATAAGAAACTCAAATAATGATAATCAAAGAAGTCAAAAAACAATTTATGTATGAAAAAGATTAAAATATACCTTGAACTTTGCTAGAAGGATCATATATATACCCCTAAATGATTTTTAAAAAAAATTAAAAGTCAAAAATATAAATTTAAAACTATTTTTTTTTTACTTCCGTTAAATGAAAGGTATATGTGAGCTCATTTTGTAACGATAGAGGTATATGTGAGCCGTTTGTATAACAGTAAGAATATATATGAATCACTTTCATAACGAGGGCATATCAACTTTAAATGACAAAGTTGAGGATATATCAGACCTTTTTTTCTTAAACTAATAAACTCGTGAGTCATGTGGCGCAAAGCGGATTTATGAAGGGTCAAGAAATGTAACATGACACTGCTTTGTTGAATTTTTTTATTCTATACGTAATTAAAAGACAGAAAAGAATGAAAATATATATTACACAATGTTTAATTTTTTTTATATAAAGGAGAGTGTAGCTCAAGTTGATGAGTTTGAACCTCGACAAACTTGCTTTTCCTTTTCTTTTTTTTCTTTTGATATTTTATATAAAAATACATATGTAGCATTATTATATTTTATGAGATTATTTTTAGAATAGAAATTTATTCGGAAAAGATTGTTTTTATTACTTTTTGAAAAAGATATAATAGTATACGTGAATTGTTTTTTAATATATATATACACTTAAAAGTTAAAAGGTAACACCTCTTGCAAAAATTTTTGCATACGCCACTGAGGCGTGTAATTATTACATACTATTACAAATTTGTTACCTCAACATGTTAATTTATCAATAATACATAATATATTAAGGTAAATTTTTTTTATCTGCGTCTAATATTTAATACATGGCATTTAATATAATTTTTAGTTATGTGTTTTTCGTACACACATTTATCAATTATAAGATATGTGTCTTTCGAGCGCACCATTAATTAAGATTAAGGATCAAATTTAGTTAGTTGTATAAGTTGTCAAATGAATTAAAGGTTTGAAGGTTAGGTCATATCACATATGGTTTAAGATTTTGGTCCCATGATGTACAACACAACTGTTCTTCCAAATTAAATTCATATCCCTACCTAGAGACTTCAAAGTTTCAACTGCCAAATGTTTTTTTCCTCTATGCATTTATATTCAAACTTTATACAGGTATGATTACTTTGACGTGCGTCTGATAAATCTACTAAAATAATTTTGATTCTTTTAAAGCCTAACCTCCAAATATTCGATTAAAGAT